CCTGTGAACGAAAGACCTGAACACTTGTATAACTTTCATTGTTTCTCCAAATTCATTGGGTTTCCGGAGGCAAGCTATCTTGGAAGTGGATGCTACTCCTGCTTCCAAGCTTGTTTTAATCGGCGAGCTCCAACAAACACTGTTTACCACGGGTAACCATTATCACATTTGACACATCAATGTCACAGTGTTTAGCATCACAGCAAACAAGTTACTTCTGTACAGCAAATGGACAGACCATTGCTATATCACTTAGAAGACTGTTTGACCAAAAACATTTAAAACCAGGCCGGAGGGCAGCAGATTAAAATCACCCACCTTTAGCTTTCTATTCACTAGGCCAATAGAGTTCTCTCTATGCTGTTGTTGTTGTTAAGTGCTAAAGACTCATGGACGACTCATAGCGACCCTATGAACAATAGAGGGAGAAATGAAGTGTCAAATATTTTCTTTTTCTTGGATCCATAACTAGTGTCCATGGAAGCAGCAGTCATTTAATCAAATGGCATATTGTGGTGGATGTATCTCCTGCAGAAGACCTCTTTAAAGTATTAAAACAAAGATATTCCTTCAAAGTCTAAAGGTGCACCTGATCCAAATGATTGTTTTTAATCATCTTATGTTTATGAGAGGTGTACAATGGATAAAAAAGAAAGAAGAAGAATTAATGCCTTTGAATTATGGTGTTAGTATGGAATACCATGGACTGCCAGTAGAACAAACAAATCCGACTGAGAAGAGGGTTATCGAGGTATATCTAAAAATCCTCCTTAGAAGCAAAGATATTGAAACTCCATCTCGGGTACTTTGACATGTTCTCAAGAGGGACCAGTAGAAGGTCAGTTTCAATGATATACACTGACACAGTGGATGTAACGATGGATTAAACACTGCAATGCCCGTGAAGATAGTGCAGGGCCACACAGATTTTCATTCTGAGTCTTAGAGGAACCTGCAATCCCAAAGGCACACGGTTCAAATACACTGGATGCTCTGTGGGAGCAGGCTGGGCAATCTCCTCCATGCTGTTTACTGCCTCTGTAAACCCTGGACGGTCAGTTATGGTTTGGTTCCAATTTGATGGCACACAACACCACCATCACCTAAAAACAACTTCAATCTAAAGACTAGCAGTGTTTCCTGATAACCATTTATTCTTCAGTTTTCTAGAAAGACAGTGTTGTTATGCGCTGTCAAGTCGCCTGCAAGTCATAGCGACCCTATCTATGTACTAGAGCCCTACACTCTGCTCTATCCTGTGCCAACCTTATTGTCTCTGACACACCTACCCTCATTGTCCCAATCACTGAATCAATCCATCTAGGGTCCTCCTCTCCTGCGCTGTCCCTCCACCCTCCCAAGCATGATGTCCCTCTCCGAGGACTGTTCTCTCCTTGTAACATGCCCGAATTATGTCAGTCAAAGCTTCAAAATCCTTGCCTCCAAGGAGCAGCCTGGTTTCATCTTCTTTAGGATGAATCTTGTTTGTTCTTTTAGCTGTCTTTGATATATTCAACACTCTTCTCCAGCTCTACAGTGCAAAGGCATCAATTCTCTACCATCCCTAGTCATTGTCCAGTCTCTGACGGGTAGCAAGCAATTGCAATGACTATGGCCTGGATCAGGTGATTAGCTTTGTAATTATGCTACTTGCAGTGAGTGTTACCTGGACATTCATAATATACACATAATCACAAGCTTTAAAGAAAGGCATTTAAAGACTTATTTAATTCCCTGGGATATCAAGATCCAAGGCGTGATTTGCCCACAGTCATGTATAGGAGGCTGAAGAAGGTAATTCATGTTAAGAGTCATGATTAGTGCCTAGGAGGCAGAGCGATCTAGATAAGCGTTGGCATGATCTCCAAGCAGGTGTTGTAGCTCAAGTGCTTTGCCTCACAAGCGCGCGTCTAGAGCATGCAGAGCCCTCTGAAAAGATCCCTTTTCCAGGTTAATAAGCCTTTTACTTGTGTAATAAGTGTCCCTTACCTCTGAACACGGTTTTAATTTATATTGAGATTTGGCCTTTTGGTGCCCTATAGCTTTAAAAAGGAAACACCTGTATGTAAATTGGATTTCGGGGTTCAATAAGAACAGCTGTTCCGGGTGAATAAACACTATAACGCAAATAGGTTCTGTTCGTTTGTTCTTCAGGCTAAGTTCCAAGCTCAGAAAGAACAAAGCAACCGTGATATTCACAAGCTCAGACTGCACGGCTGACTGACCCACACTGCCGTCAGTAGGCTTCCCGCAGACGCCACTGCGCATGCCCAGTAGCCACCAGACGGCAGGGAACTTACGTCACGCCGGGGCCACGCCTCCCACACGCCATGCTGGCTCTCCGCGGTGCGTGGGTCGCGCGGGGCTTGCGGGGCTCGCGTGGCCGCTCCTTGACCCTGCTGCACGCGGCCTGCGCGTCTCGCGCGGGAGACTGGCCGCCTTTGGCCTGGCCGGGGCCGCGCGGGCGCGCGCTCAGCCTGTCGGCCGCGGCGGTAGTGGACTCGGCGCCGCGCTCCATCCAGCCCTACTTGCGCCTCATGCGGTTGGACAAGCCCATTGGTGAGTGCAGGCGCGGTGCGTGGCGCGAGCTGCCAGGGGTCAGCGTGCCTCTGCCCCGGGCTGACCCTGCCGAGCTCCCGAGGTGGCCGTCCCGGGCTGACCCTGCCGAGCTCCCGAGGTGGCCGTCCCTGACGGGATAGAAATCAGAGATCCCCAGTGTCTCGTCACCTCGGGACAGACGGGACGATCACCCAGAGCATCTGTCAGCTCTCCTGTCCCAATGGATCCCGAGCCTTCAAGGCGGGAGTGAATTTAACTGTTTCACAAATACGTGGTTAAATGGTGACCCGAGAGGAAAATTCTGTTCTTTTACGGTATTGAACACGGGTCTTTGATTCTCGCCATTGTACTTACTGTATGTAAGTCCCCCAAAACAAATCATTAAGACAGGACTTTATGAAAACTAAGGCGCCTAGACAGAGCCAGATTGGAAATAAACCCCAAAACGACAACCCCAAACTCATCGTCCTGGGGTCGGAACCGCCTCCAGCGGGTGTTTTTGGAGATTGTAAATCGCAGGACAGGAGATTTTTCTTCTTTCTCCGGTGGAGCCGCTAGTGGATTTGAACTTGCTAAGAGGCGCCACCTTTAGGTTAGCAGGGCAACTCCCTGCAGATCGTGCTACCAGAGCTGTAAAGCAGAGATTAGTTTAAACTAGCAGCAGCTCCAACGCCAGCCACCCTGAACAACTTTCATTCTTACCAAGCAGTTCCAAGCCCCAATGCCTTTAAACGGAAAGCTTACTGAGGTTAGCACACCTTGTGATCATCTAAATCAGTGAGTGACCATATGGAACTGCAAGGTATCTTCCTGATGAAAGCCTTCATGACCTCTGCCAAGCCTGGGCTTAATGGACACGTTCCTTCCTCATTCGGACCCTACGCTGTGCTCTGCAGAACCACACCTAACATAGTGATCACGGCTTCCGTGCATGTGTTACCTTGTACATTGTACGTCTTTTAAAACTCAAAAACCTCAAACTGACTCATAGCTGACCTCCCATTCCCCTACCCCACAGGTTTTCAGAGGCTGTGATGAAGTACATGGGAAGAGATTGGTTATCTTCCTCTGGTGGAGCTCCTGGTGAATTCGAACTGCCAGACTGGCATGAGCGTGGGTTAATAGCACCACTCCTTGTGGACTATCCACCTCTCCTAATGCAAGGATTTAATTCTTTAGCGTGTAAGCAGATACAATGCTTACGGACTGCCCATTAGCGAACTGCCTCCCCCTACAGGAAAATTCATAAAATAGCACACAACACTAATCTTAATGCATTTATTAGTTGATTAACTCCTCCAGTGCAATGTAAACTCCATGTTTAAAGGCATTTTCATTCCCAGAACAAAGCTGGCTGTTAATAATCTTTTCTTTTTTCTTTAAATTTTTCCCCCTGCCATTAATATTAAGTAGTAATACATTTCTTGTTCTGTTGTACATAGGGTTTTCAGAGGCCTGCTATTTCTGAAGTAGATGTCCAGTCCTTCTTCCTAGTCTGTCTTAATCTGAATTCTCAGATTTAGAGAAGTATCTGACAAACTTGCAAGGAGGGATCGGTCCTTGGAGAAGGGACCATGCAAGAGAGAAAGACCCTCAATGAGATGGATTGATTCAGTGACTAGGGTAATTGCAGATAGGTGTGTCAGAGACAATAAGATTGGCACAGGATAGAGCAGGGTTTAGGGCTGTTGTACATAGGGTTGCAGTAAATCACAGATGATTTGAAAGCACAAAACAACAGCAACAAATAATAAATTTCTGCCATTAGTTGCTATTTAGTGCAACTTATGGAGACCCCATGTGTACAGAGTCGAACTGCTCATTAGGGCTTTGAAGTCTGTCCTTTTGGGAGAGATCACTAAACTTGTCTCCCAAGGTCCTTTGTTGTTGTTAGATGCTGTGGATTGGAGTACCACCCATAGCGACCCTACAAACAACAGAACTGAACACTCTGTATCCTGTACCATCCTCACATTTCTGACACACTAGAGCCCATTGCAATAGTCACTGTGTCAGTCCACCTGCCTTTCCAAACATCTTGTCCCTCTCCAAGGAATAGCCCCGCCTAGCAACATGCCTGAAGTATGTGAGGCAAATCTTCGTCATCTTTGTCTCCAAAGAGCACTCTGGCTGTACTTTCTCCAAAACATGTCTATTTCTTCTTTTGGCAGTCCATGGGAGGCATGTCAGTACTCTTCTCCAACACCACAGTTCAAAAGCTGGGTAAAGAAGAGAGTATATCTTCCTGATGTGAGAAATAATCTTTGCAAAGAGTCAGGAGTGGAGTTTTGAAACATAAAAACCTGATCAAGAATACCAGTGTGTTGAAAATATGACTGCATAAGGATGCTCTGGAGACTTAACGTGGAGTTTTTCTGCAAATCCAAAGGCAGAGCTGCTCTGGTGCTTCTAAGCCTCCAGCTACTTAAGACGGAAAGATGGACAGTCTCCTTTACAATTAGAAACCTGCTGGAGAGCCAATAGTGGGTTGGAACTGACTGGACAGCAGTGACAGGGAGAGAGAAGGGATAAGAGCTGTGCGGAGCAAAAATGGACAGTGAGCTGAAAGTGGTTGAATCTGAACTCTAAATAATGTACATAATTACATTTTGCTTTGCATGGAAATAGATTCAAATGCCAAAACACATTGAGTCCACTTTTAACCAACCAAGACCTCAAATTAAATCTTGGTTTTGGTAGTCAAGGTTCATGTGCTACCTATTTGGGATCAGAGCACTATGTGTTACAACAGTCACCACTTGTAGTAATTGATCAGGCCATCATTGGTAGGGCCGCAGATGACTTCTTGCATTTTAGAGCCAGTTGGAGGTGGTGGGTTTTGTTGTTGTGTACCACCAAGTACTTTGGAAATCACCCAGAGCTGACCCTCTAATGGGTTTTCAGAAGCAGTTAATCACACGGGAGGAGATGGCCCATCCTTTTCCTGAAGAGCAGCTGATAGACTCGAACTGCCAGCCTTTCTTTAAATTAGAAGTTGACCACAGATTATTTGGTCACCCAGGGACCATACTATATAACAGTGAAAGAAGTTATAAACGAATAAAGCTGGGACTGGACTTTTTGGGCTTTAATCTTCACGAACCACTTGAAGGACCTTGGTTATGTTTCTAAAGCTTGCTGAGACTGCCTTTGTCACATATAAAATGAAGACATAATAATACCAATAAGAATACAGAATTGTCATTAAAATTAATTGTTACATGTTAAGTGCTTATACCAGTTCTTAGCATAAAGTAAATTTTCAAAAACAATAGCCATTGAGAGTGGGGATTAGAGAAGACTGTGCTAGTAGTTAACACATGTTAATGAGATGCCAGCCTGCATTATTTGGTATTGAATAAAGTTGCCAAATTTCTCAAACAGCTAGATAATGGTATCAAGTTACGGTTCATTCAGCAAGTACTTTTTGAATCAGTTCTGTATGCCACGAACGATCTGTAGGCATAGAAGTGGAGATTGACATTTGTTTAATACCTTCTTTCATTTAGCAATTTTGTGTTCATTGAAGTTGAATTTTGTTACCACATTCAAAAACCTAAATGGTTTCATCATTGTTGACAAAGTAATACAACTGCCTTCGAATGAAAGAGGAACTCTAATGTCAGCCTGAAGAACATTACACTACCAGCCCAAAAACTGTGCATGTCTGGCAGTTCTAATCCACTGGCAGGTCTGTGGAAGAATGATGAATAATCTCTTCCCATTAGGCAATGTGTAGCCTTAGAAACCTGATAGAAGGTGTCAGTGAGAGTGAGTCCAAATAGAAGAAATGACTGCCTTTACTTCTGGAGGTTTCAGCAGGTGGCACTCTTTCCACTGAATTGACCCTGTAGTTTTGTTCCACTATGTTTACGAGGATGTTGCTTGTTCTGACATGCCCTGTGAGCATAATGACATTTGAGTGTATGTATTTGCAACATAAACGTTTAAGTTCTCAACATGAATGGTAGACGTTGTGCAAGTTATTTCATAATTTGCTTTTGTGTCATTTAGCAATTTCCCTTGCAGATCATACCATATCCATACATATACATAAAAAATTACCTAGTTTTTTTAATGGTTATGTCCCACTCATGGATGTTCTGTGATTTAATCATTTTTATTGTATTCTATAACACCTTACAATAACAATAACATTGTACATTTAGAATATTTCCAGTCCCTTAGTAGTAGATATGGTGTGTTTTGGCTGGCTGGCTGGCTGTCTATCGATCGATTGATTGATCAATCAATAGATCTATCCCTCTCAGAAATATATGTGAGTGCAAAACTCTAGGGTTGTGACATCAGACTTTTGAGTTTTGCTCATCTGACAGGTAAAAAAAAAAAATACTATCTCAGTGTAATTTTTCTGTTTTTCTCAAAGTTAAATACTTTTTCAAATGTCTAAAAATTACTTGTATTTTATTTACTGTTAATTTTTTGCATATGTTTTTGGTTTTCTTTAATTGGAGTATTGATTTCTCTATTCTCAGAACTCATGACATTTTAGTAAAACTGTGGAATGAGTTGCAACGTTATCTCAGTTTATCATGTGATCTTATTTTTAATTTTTTTTTTTTTTCTTTGCTTATGCTGTCATTTCCTTTGTTTAGGAATACTATGTAAAATAAAGACATTGACTTGAATTTGTACCTTTTTTGTCTTTTCTCTCTACTTAGGCACCTGGCTGTTGTACCTGCCATGCACCTGGAGCATCAGCCTAGCGGCAGAACCGGGTTGTTTTCCAGACTGGTACATGCTATCCCTCTTTGGCACGGGTGCTATTCTGATGCGTGGAGCAGGTTGTACTATAAATGACATGTGGGACCGTGACTACGATAAAAAGGTAGTTCTTTTCTTGGAAAGGAGCAGAGGGCACTCTCGATTCTGTGGAGTAACATGGTAGTATTGCTTTTAGATAATCAGAATAGGCCACAGTATTCCCACTGAAAGTCAACCTAAGAAATGCAGGTAATAGTTGCAAAGTACCACTTCCCTACTTTCTCTGTTTGTGAGGCAAAATGTTTACTTTATTAATACTAAATAAATTGATAATTTTGAGGGCCAATGGTAAGGATGTTAGGAATGAAGTAGAAAAAGCCATAACTCTTCTTCTGTAAGGCTTACATTAACCACGAGGCAGCCTTATTATTATTAGCATTTAGTGGAATTGTTTCTTATAAAAATGTTGTTGTGGTGTTGTTATGTGTCGTTGAGTCGCTTGCGACTTATAGCGACCCTATGTACAATAGCC